TCTTGGGCGAGCTCTGGTCATCTTGGACGCCTGTTGTGCCCTCTTGGACGGCCTTCTGCATGCTGGAAGCCATATTGGAAGCCGTTGCTGTGTTCTGCAGCCCACATTTTTGGGCTGCGTTCGGCCAGGTTGGTGCGCGGCTGGGACTAGGTAGTTGCGTCGATTCCGCCTTTTAGGGATCGCCGCCGACGCGGTGGCATCAGTGGGGCTCCCTGAGGGCTGATGGGGCGGAGAGGGGGGGATGGGGGAATGGGGGGGAAGGTGGTGGGCGGGGGTTTTCCCAGCGCCCACTGGAGCCAAATGGGAGCCACCCAGGGTGCTGCAAGAGTGCAAGTAGGGCCCCGTGTGGACCTCAAGCGGGCTCCGAAGCGACCCAAGCGGTGACCACAGCATCGTTTTAATGTTAGTGTGGCCATCCAGGGCTCTTAGGGCTCCTCCTGTGGTTAATTGTGGGCCCCGAGAGTGCTGCAGTGGGATGCCGCATAAAGCAACAGGAAGGCCCCGCGTAGCCCACAATCGGGCCCCGAGGCAGCACAACAGATCACCTTAAACTCGTTTTGGTTTCATGGTGGCCCTCCAGGGTGCTCTTGGGGCCCACAGAGGGTCTCCGCCTAGTCCTCCCAGATCATCTTGGAGCCTATTGGAAGCCCCGAGAGCGCTGCAATGGGGACCCGCAGAACGCTATAAGAGGGCCCCGCGTGGACTCCAAGCGGGCCCCGACGCGACCCAAACGGTCACCTTAACATGCGGGGTCTGTTTAAAGTGACCTGAGTGGTCGCTTCGGTCGGTCGATGGCTGTGTTTTGTCAGGGGTGTCTTGTCGACTGACCTACCTATCTGCATGTCTATTGATTCTTGCGTATATCAATATGTGCGCGTAGAAATCCATATATACATCCGCCATTCCATATATACATACCATACATATCACGATCTATATATATATATATGTAGATATACATACACATCTATATGCGTGCCTACCGATATACCTACATGTTTTCAGTATTTCGTCACATATTTGTGTATCTACATCCATCACTATATCCATCTGTCCAACGATCGGAACAACAGGGGGAACCCATTCCCGAAGGGGGGGAGAATTTGGCAGGAATGGGGGGCGACCCACACCACCGACGCCCATCTGGGCTGGAGGGGCCAGGCACCCGCTCTCCCTCCCCCTCCCCCACGCCACCGCCGCTGCCACTCCGCAGCCCGTGCTGATCAATCGTTGCGCACGCCACCATGGCCGCCGCCGAGGCCAGTTTTGCCTTGCAAGCTAAGGTGGGCGGCGGTCACATACAGCAAGGCAAGCCGAAATGGAATGCAGAGCTCAAAACTGTCGATGGGGTGTATTTCTTTCATGCTTGCAAGGGCGACCCATCGTTCAAGCGTTTTGTGGGCAATGAGTTGGCCATGGTGGACGCTGTGGTTACTCTTAGAAACGATGCATTCGATACTGCAGTCAATGAGAAGGCGGTCGAGAGTGATCCCTTGGGGGATGCAGATGCGCCTGGCGACCCCCATGGCCAGAAGCGCAAGCGCAAGGAGATGGCAGACGATGTTCCAGCAACGTTCGACGTGGTGGTCAAGACAGCCGAAGGCAACGAGTCCATAGTCAATGGATCGAGCTGTCGACCACCAACTTGAACTTGCTGCTGGTGAAGCCCCACCCTTCCCTCGTTGAGTTCGTGCCGACGATCGATGGCAAGACTGTGAAGTGGCGGGCGTCTCGCCATTGCGTGTACTGCAGGTACTTCGACGCCGCGAAGCAGAAGACAAGGTTCCACTCCTTGCCCGCCCCCCGCAGCAATGACCCCGACTTCGTGCAGCTCAAGGCTAACGAGGCGACGGCCGCTCTCGCGCAGTTCTGCAAGGACGCCAGCGAGAAGGAGCCAGAGCCGCCATCGGCAGGTGTCGGTTCGCCCGCAGGTGGCCAGTGAGCGTGGCAGTTGGTTAGCATGGCGCGTGCATGTTTGTCAGCAGCAGGGCATTGCGAGCGTGCTCGCGAGCTGCCCTCGATGGGGATCACGTGGTAGCCCGATAGGGTGCGAGCTGCCCAGCCGCTAGTTGCTCCCAGACGTTGCGTGCATCAGAGAAGCATCGCCACCATCATCATTCACCATTATCGTCACTATGGGTGGATATGTTGCAACATCGTCGTAACATTCACAATACTCATCACCATGTTCGTCAGCTGTACGACCGTGCACGGCCGCGCAGCTCGCGAGCATGCTCGCGAGCTGCACGTGCCCTCTCCGACTCCCACTCGTACCGCCCCCACTACCATGGACCCCCCATTCCGAGCCATGCTTTAACATGCCATGACTCGCTCCTTCAAGACGGCTCCAAGTGGCGCACGAGAGCTCCAATGAGCCCCACATGAGGCCCACGTCCTTACAACGCGTAGGGGGAACTATACTGTTTGCAGCGTCGTGGCGTTCCGAGGCCTGGCGGTGGCTCCAATACGACACAAGATGGCCCCAAGGCATGCCACATAGAGCCCCTAATATGGCACCGTTATCATCATAACCCCTACCCTGCAGCATCAGCATCGCCACTCCCAGCGCCAGCCTCATCTTGCTCCTCCTCGTCCTCGCCCTCGAGCCCCCCAGTCCCGCTGCCGTTTTGGCTAATGAGGCGGCGCGCCCAGCGGGGCCGACCGCGTCCCGATGGAGCGTGGTACAGCCTCCTCGCCCTCGAGCGGGGGCGCTGGCGATGGCGCCGCGCGCTCGATGCTCACGCTGGTGGTCATGGCGGACATCCTTGCTGCCACGCCGAAGCGAACCTGGGGATGGGGGGTGCGGCGTGCGCAGGGTTCCTCTGGCGAGGTTCGCATCCGCCGATGGGCGAGGCGGCCTGCCGAGACGGCCGCCCCGCCCGCCGAGCCCGCTGCGGCGGCCGCCCAGCCCGACACGCCCAAGCCGAGGCTTCAGCCAACGCCGAAGAAGATGCCCAAGCTGCCGAAACCCCCTGGCGATCCTCCGCCAACCCACCTATGGCGAGACCGCGACCGCCCTGCGCCGAGGCCGCCAACCGTGCCTCCGCCGCCGCCGCCACCGCGCGGAGGCACCGACGCCGCCACTACCGACGCCGACTTCGAGTGGACGCGCGCCCAGACGGCACGGGCTTTCATGGGCCGCATCTGGGACGACCAGGAGAAGGACACGGGCGGCCACTACCAGGAGCAGCCACAGGACCAGGAGCAGGACACGAGCGGCCACGGCAAGGAGCAGGACACGATCGGCCACGACCAGGAGCAGGACGAGCGAGGCGGCCACGACCAGGAGCAGGACACAGCGCAGCAGCAGGACGACGGCCGCGGCGCGCTGGAGCAGCATTCGTACAAGTACACGGATGAGGACTGGTGGTGGCGCTGGGGCGACACCGCGCAGGGCGACGGGTGGGGCGGCCGCGCGCGTGACGCGCGGGGCGGCTCCATGGATGGCTACTGGCGGCTCCAGGGCAACAAGTGGGTCTTCTACGACGCGCAGGGCGAGTGGAGTGGAGCTACCAGCAGGACGAGTGGGCCTACCCGCAAGGCGAGTGGGGCTAACCGCAGGACGGCTACCCGCAGGGCGGCTACCCGCAGGACATGACGGGCTACTCAGATGCCCAGGGCGACGACCCGCAGGATGACGAGTGGGGCTACCCGCAGGACAGCGCAGGCGGCAACCAGCAGGGCGATGGAGGCGGCTACAACGATGGCGAGGGGTGGGCCAAGCAGCACGGCCATCGCGCGACGGGTGCTGCGAGCAGCTCGAGCACCACTGCGGTCACCGTCAATGGCAAGTACAGGATCGACCAGGGCGCGGTCATCGAGACCATGAAGCGCATGCGCGAGGACGAGGTTCGTCGTCGTCGTCGCCGACGTCGACGCCAATCGCGACGACAGCGGCGACGACGACGACGGCGACGGCGGTGGCGGCGACGACGACGACGACGGCGACGGCGACGACGGCGACGGCGACGGCGATGACGACGACGGCGACGGCTACGGCGACGGCGACGGCGGCGGCGACGCCGACGACGACGGCCCGCAGGTTGCCGACGACCTGGCCGCCGACGGCGACGCCGCTGGGAGCGACGACGTGAAGCGGCAGGTCCGCAAGGCGCGCATGCGCGGGGGGCGGGTCGTCAACACTCGGCGCCTCAAGAAGGCCCTGGCCGAGCTCGGTGCGCTCTGAGTGGGCCCGCGCACCGCACTCTGCTGCGCGCGTGCGCGCGGCTGTCGGCACGTTTGTTGAGAGGCGCGTTGCGCCGCTCAGCCGCCCTCCATCGCGTGCAGGGCTTCGGGCTGTGCTATCGTGACAAATGCGCGGGCGGCGTGTTGGGTGGGTGGGTGGGCACACGGGCGTCATGATAGATCATGGGCGGGCAGTTCTTTCAGTTGGCGGCTTCTCTGGGGCACCGAGTCATGAAGCATACCAGATGTTACGATTTGCTACCGCTGACACGTAACAAATGCTACGATCTGCCACCACTGAATCGTAACATATGTTACGATCTGCCGCCGCTGAAACGTAACATGTGTTACGATTTGCGCCCCACGATTCGTAACATTTCATATGAGTTGCACAAACAACGCGATGTTACGAATCGCACCCCCCGAAACGTAACACATGTTACGTTTTGGGCCCCCTAAACCGTAACATATGTTACGTTTTGGCACCGCCAAATCGTAACATTGCAACCTCGCTCGCCGTTGGCCTCGCTCGCGGCATCGTCACCCTCAAACCCTCATCATCCAGAGTGTTTGGCCGCCCTCCTCATACCCACTCCATCTACTCTCGCGGGCGCTGGCCCGATGTCGCCAGCCGTGCGTGGATTTGCCAGCGGGTGCGTCGGGGGAACACTCGGCACGCCGCAGCAGTTGTGGCTCGAGTGTTCAGGCTTGGTCTCAGCTTTTTTTTGTTTTCGCGTGCGAGGGTGGCATCGATGGCGGCCGCTGTTCCCCATGCGCAGCAAGTGGTTGAAGGGCTCGTTACGCAGCTGAACCAGCGCTCGGAGATCGTTACGTTGCAGCGCTCCGTTGGCCTCGACGTGTCCGACTCTCAGGCCAGCGCCTTCGTAGCCCACTTCAGCCAGATGTCCGTGAGCTTGGATGGTGCCGCCCGCCTGACGCGCCAGGCTAAGCTGGGGCCCTGGTCCAGCAACCAGATGGCAAACATCGCGGCCGCGGTCAACGCCGCCGCAGAACGCACCGACCCTTCGGGTGGCACGCGGCCGCCGCAGACATGCGACTCCTTGGAGAAGTATTTCACGCAGCAGCTTCACGATTACTTCAAGAGTGATGTCATCGATGTTGATATTGCTACCCGCATGGTGGCCGTGCAGCTGTACAAACTGGGGCTGGTCTGCCCTTCGAACCAGGTGCTGAAGCGCGCGACGAGCATCATCCAGTTGGCTGGGCTCAAGGTGACGACCATGGGCGCGGGCAGCCAGTCGAACATCGGAAAGAATATCAGGAGCTACGTCAAGAGTTTGGACAAGGATAAGAAGTTCCCGCTGGCACACATCCTCGTGTATCCAGCTGACCCGTCGGCGTTGCCCGCTGCCCACCTGCAGCATGCTTACGGTGACAGTCAGCCCGTGCCGTTCGTGATTGAGGGCCTGCCTTGCGCGACGGCGTCCTGCGCCTACCGCGAGTCCAAGAAAGGTGTGAAGGAGCAGGGCAGCGCAGTTGTCCCCTACGGCACTTCCACGGAGCAGATGATGGCAACGGCGGTGACTTCGGCGATTGCCCCCCTCGCGCAGGTCATGCAGCAGGCGATGGGGACCATCCCTGGGTTGCAGATCGTCGGGGCCCCGAAGAATGGTGCAGCGTCGCGCGCCCCAGGTGGACTGGCCGCGGCGGCGGCCGACCCGCTGGCTGCGCTGGCGCCTCGGGCGGGGACGGCGTCTTCGCTTTCGCCGTCTGCGCCGACGCCTTCGTCTGTGCACCCTTCCATGCTGGGAGACTCCCCGCCCATCGCCGCCGTCGCTCGGGAGTGCGACCCAGTTGAGGACCTGGAGCAGGCCGTCAGAGATGCAGCCGAGACGGCCAAGCTGCGCAAGCGCAGGACCACGGCTGAGGCAGCGGCCGACGGTGCGCCGAAAGCAAAGGCAAAAGCAAAGGCCAAGGGCAAGGGGGGGGCTCAAATCCAAGGTCACGAAGAAGGAGGGCAAGGCTAGAGTCGCCGACGTTCTCGCTGCCGCGGCTACGGCTCGCACAGGCGGCAAGGCCGCTGGCGCCGCCGCGCAGACTGGCGCCGCCAGGAAGAGGCCAGCTGCGGCCGTCGTCAAGCTCTGCGCCTCCGACTTCCGCTCCGAGGCCACGTGCAAGGCCACCTACCACAAGGGGAAGAACGACTGGACTTCGAGGGCGTACGGAATCGCCAAGAGGCGGTGCTTGTCGAGTGGCATGGGCGAGGACGAGGCGAAGGACGTTGCGAAGGAGGTCTACCACGTGGCGCTGAAGTCGTACGAGCGTGTATTCGGGAAGTAGGCCGCACGTCTCAGTGAACGCCTGTTGTGGCGACGATCGCGCGCCCCAGCTGAGCTTGCTCGCTTGCCGCGCCAACTTACTACTTGAGCAGACGAATTCGATTTGTATGTAGCCCCAGTCAGTTCGACGCGTTGCTTCCTGAGGCGGCCGCGGCCGCCGCTCATGCCCCTCCTCAGCGCCCCCGCTCACCTGCTGATCCCAATCTTCGCCCCTCCGTATCGGCATCCTCCTCAACATCCCCCTTCTCCGCCCCCTCCTCCTCATCGCCCTGGCGTCCCTCATCTTACCACCGAAGTCCCAGCCCCGCTTCAGAACCCATCCTCCTCCGCCCCTGCGCCAACTCCCCCCCGCAGCATTCCTCCGCGTGCTGACTTTGCTAGGACTGGCACCGCGGGGCTATAGAAGCAGCCGTTGTGGACTTCACTCGCAGGCACGATGCTTCGCAAGATTGATGCATGCACCCAGCCACCCCTCGCAAAATAGTGCATCGCCAGCGCTCGCCTTCATGTAGCCATCGGCCACAATGGCAATGCCACAACCGACTGTCACCATCACGATGGCCATCGTCATCATCCATGTCATCGGGGATGCCTCAGGCGAAACGCTCGTGGTGAACATGGTGGGGCCCCCATGCGCTATGGCCCCGCCCCCGCGGGTGGCGGTGGCGGGGCAGGTGATGGTTGCATTTGCTTCCGTAGCCGGTTTGGCTCGAATTGCGTTCATATTTGTTCGTTCGGCGCTGTTGCGCGTAGTCGCATGCCAGCGCCGCCACCCGCGGCAATGCACCCCGTACCCTCTGCAGGGCCGCGGCACACGCCATCGGAACTCCGAAGCGCTGGTCCTCAGTCGGGAGAAGCGCCAGATGCTGAGCCCGCCGATGTCCATGACGGCGGAGACCACAGCGAGAGCGGCAAAGTTGGCACCCCCTCTTCGGCAGCGGCAGCCTCTGAGGAAGGAAGCGGCGGTGGCGACCCTCCCCGCTCCGCCCCGACTAAGGAGACTCGGAAGCGGGCGCTCGAGCACGAGTGGCCGTCGCTCGACGACGCCAGCATGCCAAAGGAGGTCAGGGAGCAGTTTCTCAGGATGCAGGCCGAGGACATCCCGACAAACCCTGCCTTTCAGGGCGCCCGTGCAGTGAGGCCTACATTCAAGGTTCGGTACATTATCACCGACGGCTACGACAGCGATTAGAGCGGGGACGGACAACGGCGTTTGGCCGTGTCGTGCCATGGAGTGCAGAACGGCAGCGGCGTTTGGCCGCGTGGTGGCACGGCCGACGGGGTGCAGCAGGGGGTGCAGCAGGGCCGACGGCATCGGTAGTAATCAAAGTGCAGTCTTCCCGTGCAGGGTGCAGCGGCTGTTGGCCGTGCCGTGACAACGGCGTTTGGCCGTGTCGGTTGGCGTGCGCAGCGAGTGTGGTGCAGTTGTGGCATTATGCGTTCGGGTGGTGTTGCGCCGCGCCTGCTTGAAAAAGCGACTCGCCTCCAGATTATACCATCCACCTCCCGCCTCCAAACCACCAACAGAGGCATATATATAAACAGATAAGAAGACATACATACATATATACATATATATGTATGTATATATATATATACCGATCTGATCTATGGGTAGACATGTAAAAAGATAGATACGTAGATCGCCCAACCGCCGCCCACCCGCCCACCCATCGCCAACCCGCCCGCCACCCACCCACCACCCACCACCCGCCCACCCGCCCACCGCCCACCCGCCCACCCAACACCCACCCACCACCCACCCAACCCACCCACCACCCACCCACCACCCACCCACCACCCACCCACCACCCACCCACCCACCCACACTTGGAGGCTGGGCAGTACGCATATGCAATGGGCAATGTAAGGTAAATGCCGAGCTATCTGAATCCACCCGTCCTGGGAGCTACCCAGCGCTATTCTGGCAACCGTCGGGCTATCTACAATGCACTATGCGAGCATGCTCGCGCGGGGCCCAACCCATGCGTGGGGCCCAACCCAGTCCAATCAGTGCTTGGCGCTTCGCATATTTCCACCGGCCCATACAGAAAGGGCGCCCAGGCGAGTTGAGGTGCGAGGAGGGTAGTGTAAGAGCAACGAGGGGGGCACCCGAACCGTTTGCAGGTGGAGGTGGAGAAGGAAGAGGAAGGATTGATGAGAGAGGAGAGCGACGTGTTATGAATAACATGATGGGCGATGACGAGAAGGAGTGGGAGGGGGAGGAGGATTGAGGATTGAGGAGGGGGGGGGGCGATCAAGATGGCCAGAGGCATCTCGGATGCCTGGCCGCCGACGCCAGGCGACGATGCTTGCGCACGCTTTGGGCGCAATCCCCAAGAGGCGTACCCCTGCAAGGCACCCCCGCAGTCAGGATTGTCAGATGCAACATCGCACACAGGCGCACGTTTGCGGGGGATGCGGCGACGCTTGCGCGCACTATGGGCGCTAGCCCCAAGGGGCGTATGCAATAACTCATTGATTACTTGGGCATCTGTGGCCCTCTTGGGCAATCTTGGAGCCATCTTGTGGCCTCGGAAGGCCCCCATCGCCCCCCCTGAACCCGAGTCGGGCCCGTCGGCGGGCCCAGAACGTGTTCGGCCCTCTCTAGGCAGTCAGTGTTATTTTCAAGCCGTTGCAGGATGTTGGCCTCTCGGAGGCCTTTGAGGTTTCGGTGGCCACTTGTAGCCAGCCGCATTGGGACTTTCTGGGGGCATTGTCGAGCATCTTGGGGTGCATCTTGAGGCGTATTAGGGAATCGCGAGCCATCTTGAAAGATCGTCTTCGGGCCCCTGAGGCACCCTTGGAGCCGCCACTCGCGAACAAGTGCATCCTGTCACCTCGGGAACGCCATGCCCATGTGGAAAGGAGGCAGGGGGGGGGGGGCGCGGCAAACCTGTCCCCGAAGGGGAAGAGAAGGATTGGAAGAGGGGACCCCCCCCAAACCACCGACGCCCTAAGCCTCCATACGTAGCCGAGGCTGCTCAGTGAAGCATTGATTCTCGGGCGTAGCCCGAAGGTGTTTCCCGTATCCTCAGCCATGACGAGGTGCGGACAGCAGTTCCTCTCGACCATCAGCGTCATGGTCCGAGCCCTCACGTTCGATCAGGGTTGGACATGCCATGAATCGACTAACTGTCCAGGGTGCTTGTCCAGGGGCCTTCGGCCTTCCGCCTCCCGCAGGGCTGTCGGTGATCTCTCGGGGACTCCTCGACAGGCTCTGAACTCTGGGGGCTCGGGCGGGAGCTCATGGGGAATATATGGGCATGGGGAGGGGGGGGGGGGAGGGGGGAGGGGTGAGGGGGGAGGCGTGGGGAATCGTGGGTTTTGCATTGCGCGCTAGGGCCGCGTCGCAGGCGGCGGCGGGTACTTCCGACATGAACGCGGGTCAGTGCGCTTCACAGTTCCAGGCCCCGACTCGTCCACCACGGAGTCGCAACCGTCCCCGTTCCAGAACATCAGCGTCAGCAAGAACAGCCAGCAGGGCAGGGGGGGCACCGCCGCGGGCGGCGGGGCCGACCCTGGGCCCCCCCCCGCGGGCATGACCGCCTCCGCGGGCATGGCCGCGTCCGCGGGCATGACCGCCCCCGCGGGCGGGGCCGCCCACGCGGGCGTCGCCGCGAAGCTCCCGCCAACCCCCACACAGGGCACCGATGCGAAGGACATCGGCCAGCATGCGATCGCGCGGGATCTTTCCGCGCAGGGCATCACCGCGGACGGAGCCGAGCAGCAGGAGGCCGCGCCCGCCGCGCAGGACACCGCCGCGCAGGGCCGACCTTGCATTGGAGCCATCACGCACGGCACCGCCGTGCATGACATGCCGCAGGACGTCGCCGTGCATGCAGGCATCACCGCCGCGCAGGACATCTTTCATCACGGCGTTGCCACGCCTGTCCGCGCGCCATCGTTCATCGCCACCCCGCACGTCTCGAATGGCGCCCAGGGCATCTTCATTCAGGGCATCGGCAGCCAATATGACATCGCCTCGGCGGGCGCCGCGCCCAGGACGCCAGAACATTTGCTCACGCGCCAGGTGGCCGAGAACAACGTGCACGCCGCGGGCTACGGCGGCGGCGACATTCAGACGGGCGGCATCGGCTCTGACATGCAGATGCACGGCGGCAGCCAGCTCAGTTGGTTGCAGGGCAGTCCGAGGGCCCCACCCGCAGGCCCGCGGCCACCGTTGTTTCCGCCTCCCAGGTACATGGTGCCGCCCCCTGCTGTATCAAAGGCAGCTGCGCCCCCGCGGCCTCTCATCTTGACGGTGACGAAGGCCCCGTTCCAGGCAATGCCGCCGCCGACGGCTTACTCGCCCTACGGCTAGATATCTCAGCACAGCAGCAGTTCGCATCCCTTCGTATCCGCCGCTCAGCGGCGCCAGCCTTTCAGCGGTGCCAGCCTTTCAGCGGCGTCAGCCTTGTGACAGCCTTGCGATATTTCAGCGGCGTCAGCCTTGCGACATCGCAGTGCATATATCCGCACGGCATTTCCAGTCCCAGCGCAGTTTTTTCAGAGGCGCCAGCCTTCGCGCGGCGTTGGTCGCGCAGTTGGCTGTCAGAGGTTGCAGCGTTGGCCGCGCAGTTGGTGGACAGAGGTTGCCCGAGAGGAAAATCGATCGTGGAATGGCGTTGACCCCAGAGCATCGGCATGTGCATGCGACGAGGGCCTCGCGGGGCCCTCATGAGGCACTCCCAGGCTGGATGGTGCCGTTGGGCCCAGGGAGGCGCATGGCAGCTCCCGCTAGCGTGGGCCTCAACTCGTGTATCTATGTGTTGCAACATATGCGGTGCAATATATATATATATATGTATGTGTATATATATATATATATATATATATATCCCCTCCTCCGACTAAAAGGTCTTGCGAGGGCTCGTAGTAGTAGTAGTAGTAGTAGTAGTCGTAGTAGTAGTAGTAGTCGTAGTAGTCGTAGTAGTAGTAGTAGTAGTAGTAGTAGTAGTAGTAGTAGTAGTAGTAGTAGTAGTAGTAGTAGTAGTAGTAGTAGTAGTAGTAGTAGTAGTAGTAGTAGTAGTAGTAGTAGTAGTAGTAGTAGTAGTAGTAGTAGCAGTAGTAGTAGTAGTAGTAGTAGTAGTAGTAGTAGTAGTAGTAGTAGTAGTAGTAGTAGTAGTAGTAGTAGTAGTAGTAGTAGTAGTAGTAGTAGTAGTAGTAGTAGTAGTAGTAGTAGTAGTAGTAGTAGTCAGCAGCAGCAGTAGTAGTAGTAGTAGTAGTAGTAGTAGTAGTAGTAGTAGTAGTCAGCGGTCGGGCCCGCGACGACGACGATCCGTAGCGCTTTTCGCGCAAGCCGTCATCATGACTAAGCGACTCAGGCTTATTGATTTTGGCAGGGAGAGCCACGTATCCAATGCCGCCCTGTCACAGATCCTGGTGGATGCACGTGAGTTCGGGATCCCAGATGCCGTCAGTGAGGGGACGATGCGCAGGCAGCGCAAGGCACTCTGCAGCCAGAAGACATCCTTTGGCCCGCTGGTCCAGCAGCTTGGTTTAGTTGGTGACGACGGCGCTGCCATGTCGGCTCCTGTTCAACACCCGCTGGCCGCCCTGGAAGTAGCTTGCAAGCAATCCCCGCGCGTCAGGGACACGATTGCAGGCGCATTGCAAAAGGCGGGTGGCAAGGTCAGGATGATCTTGTATACGGACGAGGTCACGCCAGGCCAACAGCTGAACTCCAGAAATTATCGCAAATGCCACGGAATTTATTGGACGCTAGCAGACTTGCCGCCTGAGTTCCTTTGCATGGAGGAGTGGTGGTTCACGTTGTCAGCTATCCGCACCAGCCAGGTGGATCGCCTCGACGGTGGGATGAGCCAGCTGATCAAAAGGTTGCTTCATGTGTGTTTTGCCCCGCCATACAATTTGAAAAACGGCGTTCAACTCGACCTGTCGTTGGGCAGCCCGCAGCTAGTGTTCGGCGAGGTATTTTGCTTATTGCAAGACTTGGTGGCGCACAAGTTGTCGACGTTATGCAAGGGGCACTCGGGCCACAAACTTCGCCCGCTGTGTCAGAATGTGGTCTTTCACAAATGCCCGTGTCTGCCTGACCACACGGGGCGTCTTATCTCGAGTGCATGTTTAGAAGTGGACAAGTATGTGGTCCACACGAAGGACACCGTCACGAGAGTTCTCGAGAGGTTGCAAGCCGTGGCGCATGGGGGCGGCACCGACCTTCCCCAGTTGGAAACATTCCTTGGCTTCAACCACTCGGACGAAAATGCGTTTCTATGCCCCGTGCTTTCTCTAGACATGCCCAACTTGGTAATGTTCGATTGGATGCACATCCTGTTCATCAGCGGCACTTTCGTGGTCGAGATGTGCGCGCTGCTTGGTCGACTGGACGCGCACTCGTTAGGGCGCGCGCAGCTCGGGGCATTCTTGACGAAATTTTGTTGGCCAGGCGGTTGCGAATCTGGTGCGAAAGTATGTTGTGACGGCAAGTTCGGGGGATCTGCCTCAGAGATGCTATCGGCAACGCCAGTCATTGCATTGTACTTGATGAACGTTGTTCGCCCGACTGGGGTTTGTGCTAAGGAAGTCGCCAGTGCCCTTCTCTTGTGCGATCTGGTGGAAACGCTGACAATCGTGAACGCTGTTACCCCGAGAGAGCTGGAGACCGCTGTGCTCTCGCATTTGCGCGCCCACGTTGACGCTTACGGGCGCGAGATCTGGATCCCAAAGCACCACTACAGTGTTCATCTAGCGCCGATGCTGCAGAAGTTTGGCTTCTTACTTAACACGTTTGTACAAGAGAGAAAACACAGAGTTCTGAAAGCCATGTGCACCAATCGGCACAACACCACCAGCTTCGACACTGGAGTCCTCGAGGACATGACGTGCCAAGGCATGCATGACATCAGCGCCTCTTTGGACAGCGGGCCCTTGCGGGGGCTGAAGGATGCCCATCGAAAAGTGGTCGAGGCAATGAGGTCAGCGATCAGTGGCGCGAGGGCCGTTAGGTCCTCGAGGCGTCTTGTGGCATGCCACAGGACGGTAATGGCCAACGACGTCGTGGCAATAGATTCGGGCGAGGTGGTTGCAGAGGTGTGGTTTCACGCCGAAGTGGACGGGTTCAGCTGGAGCTGCGTGTCGCCTTGGCCATTCGTTGAAGATGGCAACGGCTGTTGTAAGTACCGCAAAGTCTCATCATGTCCAACCATTGTGGCCAGCAGCAGAATTTCTTGTAGTGTAATTTATTCTGACACAGCAGAGAACTGTATTTCGCGAGTGATTTATCCTGCCGCTATGCGAAGCAAATGTACGCATGCCATCGCAATCATCGTCACCGTCGCGATGCGAGCTTGCTCGCAAGCGCCGTCCGCCATCCTCAACACCAGCATCGTCATCATTTGGGTCGGCGGATTGCGTTGCCCAATCGGTCGCCCAGCATCCGTGTACACATGTGCGTGTGTGATATTGGAACTGTGGGGCGCTCTTGGCATATATGCGGTGCAATCTATGTGGCGATGTACGGCATATGTCGTGCAATATACGCGGTGCAATGTATGTGGTGCAATCTACGATCTACCGCAATTCAGCATGGGTTCCTGTGACCAGCCCCACAGGTGCAACTCATATCAGACCGCTCCAACACCAAAGCCAGCGCCGACATCACCCCTCCCAGCAAAAGCGGTGAACCCAATTTTGGTTTTCCCGCGGTCCCAGGCCCGCTCGACGGGCCTCAAAGGCGCGGGCCCGCTGGGCCCCCATCCTCCTAGGACCCTGATCCTCGAAGTTCGAAGCTCGATCCTCGATCCCTCGAGAACCCTGTCGATCCTCGATCCCCCTCGAACCTCGGTCCTCGATCCTTCGAACCTCGATCCTCGATTCCTCGATCGTTGATCCTCGAAGCTCGGGGCGGCCGAGGCCGCTCGCTCTCTCTCGGTCGCTCTCTCCGTCACGGTCATGCCGTCGACGGCGGGCGGGCGGGGGCGGGCAGCCGAGCGGGGCGGCGCGACACGACCTCTCTCGCCCCCCATCTCCTCCCCCCCTTGCACCCCTTCCCCCTCCTTCACCTAAGTGAAAAAAAACATCAGAATTCTAAGGTTTCGACCCGCCCCCAGGGTTTTCGGGCGCTGTTTGCCTTTTTTTCGGGTCCCTGCAGGGGGTGCTCGTCGTCGCCACGGCTGGATCCGCCTCGAAATCCTGTTCAAATGTTAGCTAGCGTGACCCCGAACTGTGAGTTATTGCATTGTGGAGGTGAAAGCGATGCGGTGTAAGCTATGTGGTATAAGCTATGTTGTGCAAGCTATGCGGTGTGAGCTTTGTGGTGAAAGCGATGCAGTGCAAGCCATGAGGAGCAAACCCACCCGCTTTGCTCTCGGCTTTCACAGATAGTACATTGGTGCACGCGGACGGCACACGGGCACCTCCCCCCTTCGTCGTCGTCGGCGTCGTCGGCGTCGGCGACGGCGACGGCGACGATGATGAGGACGACGTGGAGGCCCCGAGAGGGCCCAAACCATCGGACGTTAAGTAGGTTAGCGGCAATTTGCTAACCTGGTTAGCCGAAGTAGGCTAAGTGGATAGGTTAGGCGAAAACGGATAGCCAACATAGGATAACCTGTATGCAACTGACTTAGTTAACCTACTTATACGAGCACAGTGTAACCAATGTACTATCCGCGCTGACCGAGAGCAAAGCAGGGCGACGATCGCAGTGCCACGGCGGAAGCGCCGCCCGGCCCTGCCCGGCAGCGCCTGCCCCGCGCCCGCCCCCCGAGCCCCTCCCAGCTCGAGGCGAACTCCGCGAGCCGGCCATGGAGCGCCCTCGGCGGGCGGCCGAGCAGCCGCGCGCGCTTGGCGCCCCCGCCGCCCGCCCACGAGCGCCCGCGCCGCTGCCCCGTCCTCGCTCGGCCGCTGGCGCTGCCGTGCTTAAAACGACGCGAAGATCGGGACAAAATCGGATCGGGACAACTCGAAATCTCTGAGAATCGGCGGGTTTGGAGGATGTATTGGGCGCCGCGGCCGCTCCAGAGCGTTCCGGAACGCTCTGAGAGCGCTCTGGAACGCTCTGGAGCGATTTATCCCGATCCTAGCCCTGTTTTAGTGCTCGCCGGTGGCCCGCGCGCCTCTTCGGCTGCTGCCGCTGCGCCGGGGGCGCCGTCGCCGAGGCCGTCGGGGCCTCTCTGCGGCGGCTCTCGCCGGGTCCGGCGCCTCTGCCCTCCTGGTGTCGATCGCCACCTGCGCCGTGCGGGGCCACTCCAGGCCTGGCCAGGTTCCAGGGGGATGCGCTGGAGGGTTTCTCCGGAGGGCTTAGGCGACCCGTCCTCCTCCTCCTCCTTTTCCTCCTCCTCCTCCTCCTCCTGCTCCTCTTCCTTCTCCTTCTCCTCCTCCTCCTCCTCCTCCTCCTTTTCCTCCTCCTCCTCCTCCTCCTCCTCCTCCTCCTCCTCCTCCTCCTCCTCCTCCTCCTCGGGTCGCCTACGGCCCCGGGGGAAACCGTGCAGGATGCGCCAGAGGGCCCTGAACAAAGCTGAGGCGCACTCCAAGGCGTCGGGGGGGCATCAGTGATGGCCGGCTCGATCCCATGCCGACGATGCCTGCGTCTGCAGAGCACAGCTTTCGGTATGAGGGTCGGAGCAACAGAGGCTCCCCAGTGCGCCACGAGATCAAAACCTCACGCTCAGCAGCGAATCTCTGGCAGTGCGTCACGGAAGCTTGCTCGAAGGGGCTTGCCGAGCCAAGCGTGTTTGGCGTGGCGACGCAGGCGTGCAGGCACAACTAATGGTGGTCGACGCTCATGCACATCATGGCGCTACACAAGAGGATGGGCGTGCGCTTATCCCCGATACAAAGGAACATATGTCTGACAGCATTGGCCCGCAGCGCCCGTGGCGATAATTCGTGTTCGTTCCTCTAAGGCAGCGCGAACTGATCCGATTTGGACAAGAGGTATGGCATGAAGGAGAAATGGCTGAAGACGTTGAGACCTTCAACGCTGGTTTGGGCGCCGCTCTGGAAGTACGCACACCTACCTGCGATCCAGGAGGCCTTTTGTGGGCAGAGGAGTTGTGGCGTTGGGCTTTAGCGCGAACCTTTGAGATGGATGGCCTGAAGTATGGGACATGTGCGAGACTATTGGACATGCACCAGCGCCACGACGAAGTTGATAAGATGATCGCGAGAGCTGCGGCAGCAGGAGAGACATGGTTAAACCATGCATTTCTAGGCGCCTTGGTGAACACAGCTGCCGAGAGGGGAGATTGGGCGCGAGCCGATGACGTGTGGCCGCGGCTGGTTACTGATTTTGAGGTTGAGCCAACTGTAATCGAATATACCGCACTGTCGAAAGCTCACATGATGTGCGGTCGCGCTGAGGAGGCTCTGCAAGTTTTTGTCGAGGTGGACCAGCCTGATTCCTATGCGGTAGTCGCCCGCGTTCAGCTACTCAAGCTGGTTTTTGTCCTTCTGCGCCACCGCAGAGGAATGCACGCCGTCTTCAGCAAGCTCTCGAGGATGGCGAACAGGTCATCCAGAGTGACGGCACCAGACAGATAGCTGTCGCGTGGGACATGCTGAAGCGCGCCGCAGAAGGCGTTCAAGGAAACGCAACGAATCTGCGGCTGAGGGGCGCACTCGTCGGTTGGCAGGCCAAGACGCACAGCGCGATGAAAGATTGGCCGAACCATGCCGCGGTCAGCCGGTATCTGGGAGTGGCTGGCCGGCGCCTCCCCTTCCTCCCCCCGCCCCTGTAATCCAGCGCAGGCGGGCGTGGTCCGAGGCGCGGCACTGCCATGCCTGCGGGCCGGGAGAGAAGAAAGCATGCCTTGTCGTTGGATGAAAGGGTCGCCGAAAGCAGAGCGCTGGAAGAGTCAGGGGCGCCGACGGGGAGGGGATTGTCTCCAGGGGGGAAGGCGTCGGCCTCCCCCTTCGTAGACAGTGGCAGGCCTGGGTGCCCCGCGCCGCCCCGTGGCCTGTCGGCGATCTGTCGGCAGTGCGTCGCCGCTTCTGCGTCGATGAGTCTCCCTCTCCGACGAAGGATTCATCTATACCTGCACCCGTTCCGCCTTGGCAAAAGCTTTCAAGAAATCGGCTGGTCGCTCCGCAGGACCCTCCAACCGCGGGAGTTCATTGCCATCGCCGCGCCCACCATCACCCCGCTACTGCGGGCTACGCCCTGCGAGATGCTTAAGAAATCATGGGTTCAGAAATTCATAGTCTCAGGATTTGAGTACAAACCAACATTTCTGTCACAAGTTTGGGAGTTACATTGAAACAGTAAGAACAATCGAGACTCTGGCCGAAAACTCACGTTTTCTTAAGCATCGCCTAGGGTGTTTCGTGATCTCTCCCCCAGAGCCAGTCCCCTACCTGCACCCGTTTCGCCTTGGCAAAAGCATTCGAGAAATCGACTGGTCGCTCCGCAGAACCTTCCAACCTGCCTTCCAACCGCGGGAATTCAATGTCATCGCCGCGCCCATCATCACCCCGCTGCTGCGGGCTAAGGTTCGTGATCTCCCCCCCGGAGCCAGTCCCCACCTGTCGCCCCCCTCCTCCGCGCACGGCACCGCCGCGCCGATGGGACGAAGGCGGCGGCCCCAGCGCGGGCGTGCGGGGTCGAGCGCCGCAGACTGGCCCGGAATCGGCCGACTTCGAAGGAGCTGCCCTGTCTCGGGGGCGGAGAAGAGGGGGGTGATGACTAGGGGGGGGTGGATATCATGGCGTGGGCCATGATATTTCCCCAGATTTCATGGCGCCTCTTCTTATCTCATTACGTCCCTGGCCCCCCCGCTGGGCCGCGCACATGCCGCCGGTCATGATTTGCACCCCCCCCTCTTGGACACCCCCCTCTTGGCCGCTCCCGACTGTCGGAAAGCCGCGATCGCTCAAGCCGAAGAAGAAACAATGCCACGAACAGAAATGTTTGGCACTCCGCGCGGAGTTCTTGGAGCTGCGCTGGGCCCCCTGGCGGCGCCTCTGGCGCCGCCCTGGGCGCGCTCCGCGCGCCGGGGAGGGGGTTCCATCGCAGGTCCAACAAGTCCGCGCGGAGCGCCAAGGGTTTCTGCTCGTAGCTGTTGTTCCTCCTTCCATCGAGGCTGGGGACACCCCGGCAGCCTCGGAAACCTCGGCGGCGCCCATAAGGGGATGGCGCGGAAGGGGCGGCCCTCCGAGAGACAGCGGGAGGGGCGCCTCAGAAGGCTGGGGTTAAGTCGGGCCTGTCCCCCTACAGGGGGACTTTCGACGAGAACTGAAAAATACACCAAAAATATACAAAAAAGAATCCAAAAATAGTCGGGGGACGATTTTTTGAATATTTGTTTTACCTTTCTGGGATATTTTTCGGGTATTTTTTATTTTTCGTAGAACCCCACTCTAGGGGGACGCCCGACATAAGGCCGGGGCCTTCTTGGGAGGGCGCCGAGGTCTCCGAGAGAGGGCCCCCCGAGAGGCCTGGAGGGAGGCCGCCCCGCCGCCTTCCGGGGCGGCCCCCCTCGCGACGCGCACGTCCGCGCCCACGCCACGCGCGCGCCCGCCGAGGACTTTGGCATCGCTCGGACGTGCGCGTTTCATTTCTCCGGCGAGGACCATCGAGGAACACCCTCGAGCATCGGGCAGTCTATATATATATATATATATATATATATACATATGTATATATATATATATATGTACAAGACTGCATTGGCGCTGCGCGCCATGCACCTTGGTCCTTGGGGTTCTGCACGCAAGCGGAATGCGTGCGTGCGTACATGCGCGCATGCATGTATACACGCGCACGTGCATACACTTTCCGTATAAATGTCTAGGTGTATACAATATAGCTACATTGTTGTATGTGTGCATGCAGCGTACATGTGCTCATGTAACTTTATGTGTGTAGGGCTATGCACATTCATATGCAATTCGTACGGGGCATCGTCGAGCATCTACGCTGCATGCCACGAGACCCTCAACGACTGGGTCACAATGTTAAATGTCATGGGAGCAAAATCAATGAATGCTGGCATTCGGAAACATCGTGGGGGTGTTTTCGGTGCCCTCGTGGGCCGTTTTGGCGCCTTCATGGGCCGTCCTGGGGCCTTCTTGGGCCGTCTTGGGGAGCTTGGGCCCGCTGGAGCCCCCTTTGGACCCATCTTGGGCACTTCTGGGGACCTCCCATGGCCCGTTTGGGTCTGTGCTGGGAGCCCTTGGGGGGCCTCTTGGTTCCATTATGGGCTGCCTTGGGGCTCTCGTGGGCGATCGTGGGGCCCGGCTCGGCCGTCTTGGGGGCCTTTTGGGGCGTCTGGAGGCGATCTCGGGGGCTTTGAAACCGTCTTGAGAGCTGATGAAATCCGAAAGGCGAGTATGCTAAAATTGTAAGCTTTACACAGGGAATGGGACGATTTCTGTGTTTTGAAGGCCCCTTGGACAGCTTTTTGGGGTGCCTTGGGGGTCTTTTGAGCCGTCCTGACGCAATTGGAGTCCCTCTTGGAGCGCTCTTGTGCTGTATGGGGCCTCCCTTGAGCCTTTCTGATGACCCCTCGGATCGCTCTGGGTCTGCTGGCAAGGCGTTTGTGGAGACCCGGAAGGCCGGGTGACCTTTTCCATGGACGTCCAAGGGAGCCCGAGAAACCCAGATCCCGGGAGTCCAGTTTTTTTTTTGGGGGGGGGGGTGATGGTTTCCCCCCCCCGGGCTTGTAAAAATATAGGAAGAGGAACATAGATATCACAACACATTAAACACACATATACATAAACAAGAAAACACAACAACCAAAACAAAACAGAACGCGCGCGACACCGACAAATTAACGGGGAATGGACGTCCGAGCGGCGGCAGGAGGAGGAGAAGGAGCAGCAAGGGAGCCCGAGGGGGCCGCGCCGCCCGGCGGGCCTCGTGCGTGCCGCGCTGGGCTCGCGAGGGGTGGCGGGCGGCGAGGCGGCAGGGGGCGAGGCCCCGCGGCCTCGGGCTGTGCCCCGCTCCCGCTTTCTGCTCCTCCCTCGCTCCTCCCCTCTTCGCCTTCTCCTCCTCCTCCTCCTCCTCCTCCTTCTCCTCCTCCTCCTCCTCCTCCTCCTCCTCTTGCTCCTCCTGGAAGGGACGGAGGAGAAGAGGGCAAGGGGATGAGAACGAGGGTTTGCGAGGGGCGAGAAGGAGGGGACGGAAGAAGGAGAGTACGACGGTGAGGACGGCGAGGGCAACGTGAAGGAAGAGGAGCAGAAGAAGGATGAGGGGGAGGAGTAGGAATCGAGGGGGAAGGAGTTGGAGGAGGAGAGGTGTCAGAGGCAGAATCTGAACCACCGCTTCAGCACACCAGTGAACGTAGAAAAGGAGGGCGTCAGAGGTGGCCGAGGAGGAGCAGCAGCAGGAGGCCGGCAAAGGCAGGGGGATGGCAATAATCAAGAGGGAGGAGCAGCAGACGGAGGAGAAGGCGGGGCCGCGCCGTCCTTGCAAAGGTCTTCAGACTGGCCACGAAGGAGGAGCCGCCCCTTTGTTTTCACGGCCTGGCGTGCTGGCCTCTCCCCCTGTGTTGACGTCTGCTCCTGTAGATTGCCCCTCTCCTGGGGCTCGAACCCTTGGCGTTTTGCTAAAATGTCGATTGCCCCTCCCCTGGGGCTCGAATCCTCGGTGTCTTCATTGCTTTCCTATAGATTGCCCCTCGACTGGGGCGTGCTGGCCACTCCCCGCCTCCCTCCGAGGGGCCCCCTTCTCCCGGGTGGCCTCAGCGAGGGCGCGGGGCGAGACGCGTGAGGTGGGGTGACCCGGCGAAGGGAGCCCTTGGGCGGGGGGGGAGGGCGGGGGGAGCTCCGGCACCTGGGACGGGGAAGTGGGCCAAGGTCGAGATGCAAGAGATGGGGGTCGATGCAAACGGAGGTCAGCCAGAGCGCCGGAGCTTGCAGGATTTTGCAACGCCAGGGTTGCATTGATCCAGACTGGCGTGCAGGATCCGGCAAGATGTTGCAGGATCCTGCTGGATCCTGCAAGTCCTGACTAACCCAGGTTCGTATTGACCCGGGCCAGTGCGTTCCCGACAAGAGGTGATCAGGGGCGGCCAAGAGGGGGGCGATGATGAGGAGGTTTTGATAGCATGGCTTTGGCCATGGTCCCTCCCTGGCGGTCATGGCGCCCACGTCTTCTTCTTGTTAGTATTTGTATACTAGTACTAGTAATAATAGTTACCAATACCAGACCCATTATTCTATCAATGCGTCCCTTGGCCCCCACCTGTGCCGCGCACGTGCCTCGGACCATGATTTGTGCATCGCCCTCTTGGATACCCCCTCATGGACGCACCCGGGGTGGGGAGGCGGAGCGGGAATGTGAAGCGGCTCGGGTGCGAGGGACACTGGAGAAGACGAGGAGAGCGGGGGAAGGGGGTGGCGATGGAGAGGGAGGGGGAGGGGCGATGCGGGAGGGTGACGTGTGGGACTCAGGAGGGGAGGATGATGTCCGGAGGCAGGACGTGAGAGGGAGAAGGGCGCAGGAAAGAAGTATAGGGGAGGAGGGGCGCGGGAAGTAGGGGCAGTGCCAGGCAGGGATTTGGGCAGGCTGGAGGAGGAGGAGGGGCAGGGGGAGGGGGAGGAGGAGAGGAGGAGGACGAGGGAGTCAAAAGAGGGGAGAGGAGGAGGAGGAGGAGGAGGAGGAGGTCTGGCCATGTGGCCCAATGCTTGGAAGTTGTGTCACTGCATTAGGAGCCGAGGAGGCTAAGGATGAAGAGGATGACGACGAGGACGAGGAAGAAGAGGACGAGGACGAAGCGGACGAGAAGGGGGAGGAGGACCAGTGTAAACCCAAGACTCATCAACGACGTTGGACTAAACCCTCCCTCCAAGCTCCCTCTTCATAGACCCCTACAAGGGTTCATTCCCACTGAGGGAAGTGACCTGTTGGGAGACAGCCGTATGAAGATCTTGAAGCGTGCCAGAACACCATTCTCGGGATTTCAACACCACCACTCAACTTGACTGTTGCGTCTTGACGATCCAGAATCGTGCCAGAACACCGTTCCTGGGATTTCAACTCCACGAATCATCATAACTGCTGCGCCCTGATAACCCTGAATCGCTCCAAAACATTGATGTTGGCACGTTAACCATGGGAGCTTGTGAAACTCTTGCAATTTGTTAAAGCGAATGTGCGCGGCGCTAAGGCGAGAGCCACCTTTTGAAAAGGAACCGTTCTCAATCCGTGAAACTCTTGCGCATTGTTCGAACGAATGTGCGCGACCCTCAGGCGAACGCTACATGTTGAAGTCGGCTCGTCCTCAATCCGCCAAGCTCTTGGCACATGTGTAAGACGAGCGTGGGTTGTGCCAAGGCGAGAACCACATTTTGAAAACGGCCCGCCCTCGACCTGTTGACCTCTTGCACATGGTTAAGACGAATCTGTGCGGCGCTAAGGAGAGCCACATTTTGAAAACCACCCGCCTTCCATCCGTGAAGCTCTTGCGTTTTTTGCTTAACGATTGCGCGCGGCGCTAAGCCGAGAGCCAAGTCTGGATAACAACCCAACCTCCATCCGCGAAGCTGTTGCCAAGCTCTAAGCTTCAGGATCGTAAACGGTAGCGGAGTCTCAGGCCAGACTCCCCGCCCGCCCCTCGGACTGGCTTCGGGGTGCAGCAGGGAGCAGTTATTTACAAGGAAGAACAAGGGACCACGCATGCCCGCCCACCTCCTGATGGGTTCCCAGGATTCCCAGGAGGGAGGGAGGGAGGGAGGGAGGGAGAGAGGGAGGGAGGGGAGGGGGAGGAGGAGGAGGAGGAGGAGGAGGAGGAGGAGGAGGAGGAGGAGGAGGAGGAGGAGAAGGAGGCTGGACGAGGACACCGCCCCCATAGCCTCCCCCACCCGGGGCGGCAAACCCTCCCTGGGCATCCGACGACATCATTTTTTCACTGCGCGGCTCTCGAGGAGCCGTCCCGACTTCTTCCATTGGGACATTTCTCAGGAGGGAAACAAAAACACACAGACACAATTAATTGTCGATCCCCAGGAAAATATACGAAAATATGGGAAGTGGGGGGGGGAAGACAGAAACCTAGAACATATGGGAAAATATGGTGAATATTTTTATTTGTGTGTATTTATTTGTGTGTTCTGGGGCCTCTTCAATTTCTTCGTCCTGCCCAGATGTCAGCGTATTGATAATAAAAACCACCCGGCAAGTGTTCAAAGGGGCCTTCGCCCAGCCCCGGGACTGTCAAAACCGACTCGGGATGAACGTCCGGTCCCGTGGAACGGATCGCACGAATCAGCGTATCAAGTCTCTGGGTGTTGGACTGCCGAACGCTTTGGACCAGACGAAAGCATATACGAGCAGGATCTTTTGCTTCGCGTTTCGCTCCGGCCGTCCTGGCCCGCCACGCTTCGGCGCGGCACGCTGTCCACGACCCCACTCTCGAGTGTCAACGTGCCGAGTTTGTCCCAGCCTCCCGCCCCGCGGAGCGGAGCGGCAAGCCATCCGCTTGCACGGCACAGTGCGTCGCCGGGACCGCCGCCGCGGCACGCTATGAGCAGAAGCTCCCGGCCGCACCGGCCGTCACCTTTGCCGTTCGCCGGCCCGCGCCGCCCCGGCGGGGAGAGAGAAGAGCCGCCCGCCCAGCTCCGCGAGCACGAGGCCCGGCTGTCCTGGTGCGCCCGGATGATCCAGACGTCGTGGCGGAAGCGCGCGGGTCCCAGCGGCCGCGTGCGCCGCGTCGGTCGGTCGATCGGGGCCCAGGCCTCCAATCAGGCAGTGCCAAGGGGGGTCACCACTGGGGGGGGTCGCCAGCTTCTCCTGGAAATCGAGGTTCCGGGATGGAGAGTCGAGGGGTCGAGGATGTTCTTGGACGTTTCTTTGCGTTTTCGGGGCTCTGGGGGGCCCAGTTCCTCGAGGAAGTCTCGAGGAAGTGGCGTTTCCTCGAAGAAGTGGCGACCCCCCTAGTGGTGACCCCCCTTTGCACTGCCCCATCCAAGACATCGCGCAGGTGAGCACGGACGCAGTGTCCACCTGGCAGGTGGGCGTCGTCAGGCTGTAGCGGCAGAGTTCCCGACCCGCCCACCCTCGGGCAAGCTCCCCGTGCGGCACAGGGGCCCAGCCCGCGAGGCCGCGGATGCGGCTGCGCTGTTCGCCCACGAGTCTTCTCCTTCATCCTCTCTTCTACTTTCCCCAGACAGTGCTTGCACTTATGGTTTTTTACTTGTCTCAGAAAGAACTAACTAACTTTGAGTCGGGCCTGTCCCTCTACAGGAGGAATATTCAAAAATAGTTTAAAAAATAGTCTGGGGACTATTTTTTTAGTATTTGTTCATTTGGGATTATTCTTTGAGTATTTTTTATTTTTCGCCCACAATCCGCCTGTAGGGGGACAGGCCCGACCTAAAGCTAACTGGGCCTCCTCGCTGGTCTGGCCGGCTTGTGGTGGCCCGTCGCCGCCCGACGCTTCCGCCCGTGACCCTGTGCGCCGGTCCGGCCGGTTTGTGAGGGCCCGTCGCCGCCGTCCGTCGCCTCCGCATTTGGGTCGCAGTTTTGATTGTGCCAACCTCTTGGATGGTGCCACGCCTTTCTTGCTCGGCTCAGGTTGTGTGGTTATTTTTGTTCCGGTTGCAACCCGTCCCCACAACCGGCATTTTGCCTGACCCTGGGAGCTCTGCACAACGAGGTCGATGCTCGTGTCAGGGCGTGCGCTCGTGGAACGATCGAGACATTATTTCTAGTCTGAGTTATCCACGTCTCTCTTCAGCCTGGCCTAGTCTCGCCCGCTCGTTCGCCGAGTTTTAATTGCTCCGCCGTCGGCTTGCGACCCTCGGGTTGTTGCCACGGGAGGGTGTTCGACAAAAAAAGGTGGTGCCGCATAGATTGCTTTAGATACGTAGGTTGCACCCAATTTCCCACTCCACTCAAATTAACGAACATCGCTTGCACAAGTTCGATTGCATAGTATATGTTAGGCAGCGGGGAACAGTACATATCGTTTATTTTGAACAGCCTGTGTCTAGCAGTTTGCGTTGTGCAATCTACGCGGGCGGATATACGTGGTGCAATATATTCTGTGCGATGCCGTCGTCGTCGTCGTCGTCCTCGTCGTCGTCGTCATCGTCGTCGTCGTCGATTGCAGCGGGACTCGTCGCGCAGTTCCGCAATGCGTCGCCGTCGCCGTCGCCGTCGTTTTCGTTGCTCGGCATCGTCGTCGTCGACGATTCCAGCGGGCATAGTCAGCCCCCCCGCCCCCCCCTGAAGGCGGACCAAGCCGTGTGTGTGTGTGTGTTTGTGTAAGTGTGTGTGCGTGTTGCACGTCGTTCGTCTGTGTTTGTCTGTTCGTGGTGCTCCTCTTCTTCCTGGGCCTCCTCCGCATCATCCGGTTGCACAACGTTGCTCATCGCCTTCGTGGTGCTCTTCTCTCTCCTGGGCGTTGACCTGGTCAAGTGGCACGTCCTCCTCTGCAGTGCTTGAGGCTGGTGTTCGCGATGTGCCGTTGACGGCAACACCATCTCCTTCGCTTTCCGGGTCTTCGCCCCTGGTCCTTGTCCGCGGTGTTCCTTTTCCTGTGCAAGCTCTTCGAGCTCTTCGGCACGGCCTGCACCCTGGGCTCCGCCCGCTCCGGCCGCCTGAGGCCCCGCCTTCCTGTGCCCTGTCTCCCTAATTAAAGCTGTGCGCAACCCGCCTAGCTTTTAGCGGAAGAGGTTCGCTCTCGCCCCGCAGACCAACAATCGTCTGTGTTTGTCTTTTTCTGTGCCTTTTGTCTCGTTTGCTCGTTCTTTGCGCAGACATGTTTTGCAACAGGCGAAGGGGGTTCGTGGGGGGGTCGGCTTTGCCAGGGTGGCATGAGTTCACATGGAAAATGACTGATAGGCCATACTCCTATTTCAATGGCGATTCCCCAGGAGGGCTAGATAATCCTGGGGTGGGCCTAGTTCGCCGTGGGAAAAAACAACTACGCGGTGCAATGAATTCCTGTTCGCCGTGAATTGTCAATTGCACTGCGCGCAATGGCCCCGCCCACCCACCCGCACTTTCGCATGCAGAACCAAGGCGGCGCCGATTGCGATGGCTGCTTGGCGGCGGCTGGCGCATCGCTGCGGCCGCGCTAGCGCGCGCAGTCTCGCGCGCAGAGCGCCCGCCTAGTCTGGCGCGACCGACGCGGCCGCGGTGGCATTGGCTGTTTGGAACTTCCCAGCGCGCAACGCAGGCCGCGCTGAAGCGAGGGCCCGTCAGCTCGAGTCGCACGGCATAATGGCGACGTCGAGAACGGCAGACGCGCTGATGATAGGCAACGATGGTGGCGATGATGGCGAGGGCGACGACGCGGCCAATATCGGCGCCGATGCTGATCGCGCCGATGACGATGATGCTGTTCATGCTTCGCCGATGGATGTTTGGAGGATTTCAACGCGTGGGCGCGCGGCCGACGTGCGCGAGTCGCCCGCGTTGCATTTCTCGACGTGGATCGCGCACCCCCCCCCCGCCGCCCGCCCAACACGCGCGCATGGGCGTGCGTTCGAATGATTTCGACACGCGCGCTCGAAAGGCACGCTTGGTAGCATTTGATGAACATGTTGGTAACCCAACCGTTTTTACGCAAAAAGCAAGAAGGCGATCGGAGGTTTTCTTGAACACCCCCGCGGCGAAAACATGTGTTTTTCATATGTGTCTGGGCTGCTCGACGCGGAAACTTTTTCGACGTTTCGAGTTGTCCGATGAATTTCGGCATGCGCGCGCGACGACACGCGCGCGCGCGAACCTCGCCCCATTTCTGTTGGATTGTCGCGACTGCACGCGCGCGAGGGCGCGCGCGACGTGCACGCGCGAGGGGCGCGTTCGGTCGCACTGGATGGAAAGGTCGGAAAGACCGATGGTGTCTTCAGATGTTGCGAGATTGCGAGCGCGATTGCGACGGGTGGTACAAGTTCATATTTAGAATGAACGATGGGCAGAATCATATTTGAAGTGCACATCCCGAGGGCGGGGGGGGTGAGACCGGAGGGTCGGGGGGGATCGGGTTCCTTTTCGCAGAAGGAGAATTTATGTGGCGCAATCCATTTTGACTGTCTTGAAGCTGTCCACCCCACTGCTCGCGCAAACATCCCACCCACCCACCCGAAACTTGGTTTGCAAAATCTATTAACACCGTGACGGTGGATACCAAATAGCACTTGGCAGCGGCAGCGACGCCGACGACGACAGCGACAACGACGACGACGACGCCGCCGACAACGATTACGACGACACCGACGATGTCTCCAACGACTTCGACGACGCCGACAACGACGACGACACCGACGACGACGACGACAACGCCGACGCCGACGACGACGATGACAACGACGACGACGACGATGACGACGCCGACGACGACAACGACGACACCGACGAAGACGACGACGACGCCGACGCCGACGACGACGACGAAGACGACGACGACGTCGCCAACGAAGACTACGACGAGGGAGGAGGGGGGAAGACGACGACGGCGACAACGACGACAACGACGACAACGACGAGGGAGGAGGGAGGACGGCGACGACGCGAACGACGAAGAAGGAGGAAGGACGGCGACGCCGACGACGACAACGACGAGGGAGGAGGGAAGACGACGACGACGACGACGACAACGACGACGACGACGACGACGACGACGGCGGCGAAATAGGAGGGACGACGACGACGGACGACGACGACGACGAGGGAGGAGGAGGAAGGACGACCACGGCGACAACGACGACGGAAACAACCACGACGCCAAAGAGGACGACGACGACGAACACGAGGAAAGACAGAGGACGATGTAGGCGACGATGACGACGACGCGGGAGGAGGGAGGACGGCGGCGGCGGCGACGACGACGACGACGACGACGACGACGCAAGAGCGCGTGCGCGCACGCTTTTGTTGGAAATCCGTGTTGCGAAACCTTGTGTTTTTGTAGGTTTTTTTGGGCTACACGATTTTGAAATCCTTCCGAAACCGATGGGTTTTGAAGGATTTCGGCATACGCGCGCGACGACGCGCGCGTCTGCACTTCGTCCCGGTTCTTTGCAGAAGATTCTCGCGACGGCACACGCGCAAGGGCGTTCGACAGATTTCGACATGCGCGCGCGAAGCCCGTTTGGAAGCATTTTGTGAGAATCTTGAAAAACCGATGGTTTTCTTACGATTTCGCAAGAGTTCGCGCGTAAGCTTTTTTAGCAAAGCAATGTTTCGAAACCAGTGTTTTTGTATGTGTTTTGGAAGCTCGATTGCGAAATCCTTCCGGCACAGAAGGTTTTTGAAGGATTTCGGCATGCGTGCGCGACGACGCGCGCGTGTGCACTTCGTCCCGTGCTTTGCAAAGGATCCGTGAAAAGTCTTATGTTCGAACAACAAATGTCCCCGCGTGTTGTTTTTTACAAGGGAACCTCAGGGGGAGCGATACCGGTTCCCCGGGGATAGTGTACATTCATGGTTAGGATGGACATGTGGTCAGAATCATATGTGATTTACATACCCGAAAGGGGGGCCGATGACGCCGGGGGGGGGGGGTAGAGTCTATTCTCTTTTTAGAAAGGAGAATTGATTTTCACACAAGATTTGACACTTCCCATGCTCTTGCAAACATCCCACCCACCCACTCGCAACTTGGTTTGCAAAACCTCTTTAAGACCGGCTATGACGACACCGACGACAACGACTACGTCGACACCGACGACG